GGGGGCGCGGTGCAGGGCCGGCAGCGGTGGCGCTCGGACGGCCGGGCCCTGCAGAAGCTGCCGGTGCACATGGGGCTGGTGGTGACGGAGGAGGAGCCGAGCTACGCGGACATGGCCAGCCTGGTGGTGTGGTGCATGGCGGTGGGCATCTCCTATGTCAGCGTCTATGACCATAATGGTGAGCGGCGGGGAGCGAGGGGGGGCTGGGGGCCTGTGTGTGTCGTACCGCGGGGGTGTTCCGGGTCCCCGAGCGGGCGGTGGCCGCCCTAGGGAGCGCCACAGGGCAGGCCCGGCCCTGCTGCGCCACCAGCGTCGAGTCAGGGGACCTCCTGCCTCTCCCGGGGTCTGCCCGAGCCGGGTGCCAGTCTCACTGTTGGCACCTCCATTCCCATCCCCAGAGCCGCCTGGCCTGTGCAGAGCTCCTGGCCCTGGTAGGGCTGGCACTGCCCCCAGTACCGTCCTGCTCCAGCCCCTGGGTTGGGGTGACCCGATCCTGCTTGCTCACCAGAGGGGGCAGATGGTGGGGCCTTTCTAGAGCCTTGTGCCCAGCAGTGGGCTGACAGGAGCTGCTGGCATCTGAGAGCCATGACCGTATAGGGGGGTATGGACTGTTAGTAGAGCAGAGCTTTAGGCACCTGCTCTTACTAGCTCTGTTTGTGAGCTCTTTCTGGACTTCCAGAAGTGAGCGAATGAGAGTAGCCATCTATTTTCACGTACCCTTTCTCATGGGAAAAGACAGGATGGAAAGGAAGTTAAGCATGTGTGTCCTTTGTGCTCTCTGTGTTGTAAAATTAAATTATGTGGTCTGCATTTGGCGCTGCTTCGTGTTTGAGTTTTCATGAGCACTCGCTCAGAGTTAACTTGGATATGTTTTCATATCTGCTGTGTGATTTTATTTCATTACCATGTCTCAGAGGTAAGACTATTGAACTCTTGCTCTTGCAGGTACGTTGTTTCCACATCACTGAGTAGTTTAAAGATAAGTTCAGAGTTTGGATTTAACATTCTGTGGAATAATCATGGAACAAATCTATCTTCCTTATACCTATCTTTTCCTGCTGAGGAGGTGAAGCCAGCTGCTTTCAAGATATTCTTAGGTGAAGCTTTCTACCTAGCTGTTAAGAGATGCTTAACTGAGCCCAGACAAGCTGTCAACTCAGAAGGGCTAACAGAGCACACTGGACTGTGTTCTGTTTCTGCCTTCTCCAGAGGAGAAAGCTTCATGTTGAAGATCCCTGTGCTTTTGCTGTCAATGGTGAGACTACAGGAGACCAGCGTTTAACTGTTGTTTTGTGCCACTTCTGATGGCTCTCTAGAGAGGTCATGGAAACTAGATTAACTCTAGATTTATGCCAGGTTAGAGGTGCAGTCTGTAATAGTTGTCTTCTAGTGCTCTTTCAGGAAAGACTCAACAGTTCATCCCATGTGAGTAGGCAGAATCTATTGTCAAGTGTGCAAAAGCACCAAGGTGTGCAGCCCTTTCCCTGACCATAGGCGTTCATGATCTTATTTTTTTTTTAAATCACTGCCATTAATAGTTCTGTTTCGTGTCTGGTCCTTTATATGTGACAGAAGACACAGCTGGCTTGACTTTCACTAAAGTCTCTAAATCTTATTAAGAAACTGGACTTAATACCAGTCACTTAGCAGTTTAAACTGGCCATCTGTGCCAGGCTGTTGTGGAACGTGATTATGTTGTGTTTCAGTGGGTGAACACTTCCTCATTTTTAAGTCAAGGAATGGTATAAAATATTTGAATAACATCTCAAGGACACAGAAAACAGTCAGTACCTTCTGAAAAGCCATATACATGTTGATAGTTTTTACTGTCAACTTGGAAAGCATTCAGCCAGGTTAAATGCTGCAGAGCAAACGTTAGTACCAACCAAGAGCAGGAGTTTCCCTCATAGCCTGAAAAGGATATTTTTATTGTAGATTATCTCTAATTTCCATCAAACTTCAACTAAGCTATCTGCAATATTGCCTAATGTGCTGTGTATGTATGCTTAGTTCTTTTCTTAAATCCCTGCATTGTGCTGCACAAATTATATGTTTGAGAACTGAATTGAGGAACAGATCCAGCTGAGAGTCATGCTTCTTGGTGGTCTTGGTTTTCAGCTTGCTCTCTGTGCACCCATTCAGCACTGAGGAGGAAGAAGTCACCAGCCACTGTCACTAAGATCCTGTCTGCAGGGAGGAGCCGGTGCTGTTGTAGCATCTGATGCTTTCATTGAGGAGATGCTACTTCTGCTTCTTGAGCACACGTGTTGAGATCCAGTCAGATCAAAGGCTGACTGTTAGAAGACTGTAAATATGATGACCAGAAATAACAAGGTTACATTCTCTTACACTGCTTTTTAGCGGTGTAGCTGAAATAACCTTGCAGAACAATTGTCTTTGTTAGCAGTTCAGAAAGAAAAATACCTTGGAGATTATTTGCTGCTGTTTCCATGTATTGTTACAGTCAGTCTGAAGTTGCACGTTAAGAGGTTAACACTTTTGAAATCTGAACATATAGCTGTGATCTCATGACTTTAGTATCAAGACATAATGCTTTTCAGTAGTTCATTCTTCTGTTGGTCCTTTGGTACCAGAATGTGCTGTTTTAATTGCCGGCTTGAGTTCCAGTTTGTTGGAACATAACTGAAGAAGTCAAGACAGTGCAGAGCAACTAAAGCACTTTAAATCAGTGGCTTCTGCCAAACTTTCAGAGTTGATGAGAACAGCCTGCCATTACACACGCATGTTCTTCATGGGTGTACAATGGGTTTTCTGGGATAGCAGCCACGACTGCTTTTTCCACAGCATCTTGTCAGCTGAGCCTTTTAAACTGGTTTCAGAGAGTGAGCAAATAGTCATTCATATGGCTTAAGTATATGCTTACTTCTGGTAATAGCAGATACGTCGCCTTTCTTCTGGCGCTAAGCTCCTTATGGTGTTTGGATTGAGCATACAGCATTTCCAGATAGACTTGTCATTAGATAGGACGTTGCAGTTGTTGCTGAATCCGATTCTGAATATTAGTGATGTCTGGAACCCTCAGCAGTGGCACTAGTATAATGAAGGTGGATAAAGTAGGTGAATAAAGTGAGGTATAGTTTGCTCTTATCGGTATCAGAGGGCGAGGCTTAATTACACTACACACTTGTTTGTATTTTCTCGAGTGGTGGGACTTACTTTTGGTCAGCTGAGCTGCTTCAGTAAGGTTCTGCGTTCATACAATTGTACCAGCTATTGACTTACCAAAGATAGATTGTTCCCACTGAATGCTAGCTGGGATGAAGAAGGAAACACAATGACAAATGCTTTGAATCTGTGTTAGGCGGAGTGAGGTAATTTTAAGTAACTTTAATTTGTTTCCTTTTCCTTTATTGCATATTTGTAGTACTGAGATTCTTCTCATTGCAACAGGAAACTTTGATTACAAGAGCAGTCTTCCATGGTTGCGTCTTCTGGGAGAAATACTGCTTCAGTTTCCTGTAGAAGACACTTTTTTAATTTAAGCCCTTAACCCCTTCTGTAGGAAGAGAAGGAAGCATGACATTCCCTAAAGAAGTGCCAGATAATCTGTTTATAGTAGTGAATTTCCATATTTTTAACAAAATTAGGAGGCTGCTTCTGTGTTCTTGGTGTCAAACTGAGTAGCTGCATCCTTGCTCATACTGGTATGTTACAGCAGCTGCACCAGTAACCGTAAGGGCAGCTTGGCTGGAGTTGTGCTGATTCTCATGGGCAATCACAGAAAGTGTATCAGTTAATAATTATGGAAGGTGATCAGGTACCTGGCTGTCTTCTCTGAATCCAGGAAGATCAGTATGCCAGAAGACTGGGGTACAAAGGTCTTTGCAGAATGCAAGAGGACCGTGATGTAGGTAACCATCTTGTACTGTAAAAGACATATGGTGCTGTGAGTTGCAGTGCTCAGAACTGAGAGCCCCCACAGGCTTGGAGATGTAAGGTGTCGTGCTTTGACTGCCTCTGGTGTTTAGGGGCCCTTTTCATTTTCCTGATTTTCAATGACATGCAAAAAAACCAACCCCATAATAAACTTAATGCTAAACCATGCACAGACTATAATTTTAGGGTTTTGATCAAGGACTTCTTTTCTGTGGACTTGTACGTTGCCAGTCCTATCACTTGGTAGAAAGCCTGTCATGCTGGTCAGGACCCTATCTCTGAGACAATAATGCAGTCTTCTCTCAATCAGGAGACACTGATTATGCAATTATATAGTAGCAGTTACAGTATCTTCTGGGACGCAGAAGCCTTTGACCAGTGTTACATAGTTTAACCTTCTGTTAAAGTTACTTTGCCACTCGGGAGATTCGTCGGTGAAGTTTTCATGAAATATTTTGGGACAAGTTGTTGGTACTGCAAGGGAGTTTAAAACCAAATAACTGAAATGCTGTGGAAATGTATTCTTTCCTAGGCTTAACTTTGGTTAAGCTGTTCCCTTGTAAGGAAGAGCTGACTCTTAGTCTGTGTTTATCAGATTCTGTTGCTTTAAAAAGCAGGGCAAGTGAGAATGTTGAACTTTGAGATGCTACCAAGGTGTTAGCAGGTGGTGGCTGTGGTATTCTAGCCAAACCAATGGTTGATACCACCTGGTGCTCCTCTGTGCCAGTTGTACCCCTCCGGTTCACAGTTCCTGTCACTTATGAGCCTTGCTTCTGTGGAACTTGCAGCTCTTAGTTACAAACTGCATTTGTCAGTCTCTGACCCTAAAATGCTGCAGCACCACAGTTGACAACAAAGGGGCATGGCTTGTAACTATTGTAAAACTGAGCCAAAGGCATGTGCCCTGGAAAAGACCTGTGTAGTGGGGGGCTGCTGTGGGAAACTAAAACACTTCTGGTTTGCCCTAGTTGTAATGGTAATTAATGATCAAAAGCAGGTTTGCAACTTGTATTGTAAAACCAAAAATTATCCCTGGAAACAGCTCACATGTCAAATTCTCAAAAAGGCAACAACAAAACAACCAACCAAACACCACTGAAGTTGGTGTTAAAAACACCAAAATGAAGTTTTATACTTTCTTGTTTGGGAATTATAGTACTTAAATATGCATAATTCTTAAAACACTTCATTTGTTGGAATATAGACATTTGTACCAGCTTGCAAAGACTCCAGAGTTCTGACTGAACAAAACTGTTTCTGCTTTTCAGAAAGAAAAATTGTTTCTAATGAAATAAAATACTGACAATTTCATGTTTATGTTCCATATTAGAAACAGTAGTTTCCCCACATAACAGCAAACAGCTGTTTTGTTGCTAAATTTGTTATATCTCTTGTCAAACATTAACTTTCTATAATGTTAAAATCATACTATGGATTTGCTTTCCATTTATGTGGAAGACTGTGAATAAAATTGGAAGGTCACGTTAAATCAAGACTTAAATCTCACTGCTTAGGAGCACTTGAATAGTGTCAGTGAGCTGGTCTACTTGTGCACTTTTGCATACTATATTTATCATGTATAAATTAGCAACAGCATCTTCCAGAACTAACTTTCAAAGTTTTAAAAGATGAACTATGTATACAAATGGGGGTTTGAGATTCTATAAGGGAGGGTGGTGTATATCTGAGCCACAACTGTGTAATTTAATTTTAGAGTCAGGTGTGAAGTTGGCTCATATACATTGCCTCTGGCAGGACTGTATTTTCCATTGTATGTATCCGTAGGAAAAAGTTTCTTGTGCACTGAGTGAGAGGCAAAACACTGAAGGAGTGAAGTTCCTTAATGCTGTTTATTTTAAATGAAGGTTTCAGTTAGTTTGGATATTTATGACCACCTGATGTGCTTTGGGATCTCCTGCAGGTGTGTGGAGGTCTTTCCAAGAAGGACATACAACTATACAGTACAACTACCAGTAGCTTCCAGTTTGTTAAACTGCTATTCCAAGAGCAGCACAGGACCTGGGTTTGAATAACCTGGTGAGATAAATGAGGACAGTAAAAGAGGAATGCTGCTGGTATTGAGGTAAATCTCAAGAGCACATTTAATGCCTTCAGTATCCACTATGTATTTTAAGGACCTTCACTTCAGAGCTGGACCAAGTCCTTTTTCTGATGTCCCTTTTTACTGAGCAGTAGGCACCTTAGTCTTTTCGTTATCCTCAATGCCTTCGTTTACTTTAGAGCTGGTGTCAGTATTCTTAAATCTGTTCTTCCAGTCTTTGACAGGAATAGCAGTTTAACTTTTCATGAGAAAAGAATTTATATCATTAGTGTTGGGTGGGGAAGGGGAAGAAAAGAGCAGCTGTTTCCCAGATTGGGAGGCTTTTCTAATTATGCCAACTCTTTTTCTGAACATTGAGTGTAGTTTTTTTCCCCTCATCTTGGAAAGTGGATGGAAATCAAGTGACTCTTAGAGGTGAGGCACATGCAGCCTTACTTGCAGATCTTACTTGAAGATGGTGCGGGATTAGCAATTGCAGTAGCTGTGCTGCTCCTGACCCTAAGAGAAAGGAAGACAATCAGTGCTCACTCTGGCACAATACAGACTTGCCCAAGCAGGGTTGTGTCAAACAGTATTATTCAAAGCAGCATTCTCAATTTCTAGTATGTATGAGTATACACTAGTAAGCAGGAGCACAATGTGTAACAATTGAACTTTAGAATGGACTTGGTGAAAGTTTTGTAACACTTTTTCTGTCAAGGTTGCTGCCTTGCTGAGATTTGCTTGTCTGTCAACATGTGAAATCAGTTATAAGCATCACTAACACAGGTGTAATGAAGTAAATTATTTTTTTGCATGAAGTTTCTGGGATGGGAGGAAAACGGGATGCTTTACCACCTGGTAAAACCTCCAATGATGCCTGTGTAAACATACTGATTCACTAGGCCTAAAGGCTAGCATATTAAATAAATGTGTTGTATCACTTCATGTTGCAAGCTAATTCTTAATGCCTTATGGTCTTAACCCAATGCTTATACACTGTTTGATCACTACTGGAGTGGAAACTACTGTTTGTAGCAGTTTCTAATCCCAGAATCAGGTGGAGGTGATGGATCATAAGTCTGATCATAAAATTGTGGATAAGTTCAGTGTTTCTTGTAAGATTACTATGTGGGCATTTTTAGACTGGTCAACAGAGGTGCTTGACGTAGGATTTCTGAATGAAACTTAGGCTTTTAGTTACAACCCCTGTATAGAAAGTGATAAAAGTGTTATCGTTTCCTAAGTAAATATGCCTAGCCGTGCTTTTGCATTGTAAACATTTAAGCTGTAACACTCAATTTTTACTGTGGCGTTTAGTTAGAAATAATTGTGTTGGGTCTTAAGAGCTAGAATTTATTTTAGAACAGAAACTAACGTATGTTTGGTTAAGCAAGTTTTTGGAATCTCCTGCACTCAAAATGTCTATCATAAATGTGTAAGTATAAAAAAAGCCTTGGGGACTGCATTAACTCCTTGGAATATACAGCTTGTGAAATCTTCTTATTAGGAAATCCATGGCATTGGCCATGGCATAGGAGTGGACAGTTACTGTGACCCGATACACAGATCGAGTCTTCTGGTTCTTTTTGGTGACTGGCTCTGTTAGCCTGCAGCCACAGTGGTGTGGCAGTGAGCATTAATAGACTTCAGCTACAAATCAACAGCCACACAGGCATTAAAGAAACTTGGTGTTACTCTGACTTGGTGGTCCTCTGCTGGTAGGGCATTGCTATTTCCAACTATTGCCAGCATACTAAGGACAATGAAGTAAGTCTTAAACTATCCCTTACGCAATTGCAGCTTGCTATTTAAACCAGGCTGGGTGAAAGAGGAACAAAAGCACATGAGTTGTCTTTCCAAGGTCACTGAAATTAGTCACATGTAGGAGCATTTGCTTTGGATTCTTATCGTACTTGTGAACTCCAGTTTGAAACCAGTACTGACTACCTGATTCTTTTTTCTTCCTGCTTAGTGTCAGATTTATTTTGTAGCACTCTTTATAGGACTTGGCTGACATGCAACCTTTTTTAAAGGTATTTTCAAGAGGAATAATTCAAGATTGATGGATGAAATTTTAAAACAGCAGCAAGAACTCCTAGGACTAGATTGTTCCAAGTACACCGTGGAATTTGCAAATCAAGACAAAGCTGATCAAGGTAAGATGAATTGTGAGGGGTGGGTTGGTATGACTTCAAACAGCTGTATATGTCATAACTCTTGCTTTTACTTAAACACATCCCATGTGTACAGTGACCTTTCCCTTCATTTAGCATTGATTATCAGAGCAACACGCAGCCTTCCTGGGCTAGTATTGAACTTTCATTGTACTTATTTGTTCTTAACTAATAGTGAAGTGTTGCACTGTCCTTCCCATAGCGATCATTACTGGATAGTCTGATCTTGCCTTTAGGCCAGCTGTTGTTCTATGTTGTTCTATGACATCTTTAATGCATCAGTGTAGCTCAACTCCCCACTGTTTCAGTGAGATGAATTCTTTTGCTGAGAGAGTTGAAAAAGCACTGGAGTAAGTGTAAGGGAACTGATGTCAAGTTAATGACACGTGTGCTTCTGTCTTTCCAAAGTTATACCTCGAAGTGGGGAGGAAGAAGGGCAAGAACAATGTTGTCATAGCAATGTATAATGTCACCAGGAGGGTAAAGGGCATAAGTTTAAAAAGAAAATATAATTTAAAAAAAAAATGTGATAGCAGCTTTTGATGTAGTAGAAGGGGAAAACAGAATATGTTTGGAGGTTAGTGTTCCTTATTCAATACTATCTGCTGTAAGTATTTATTTAAATATGTTGACTTACACAAACACTAGGAGTCTGTGCAAAATGTAGTAAATCTCAAGCATATACTTAGTAAAGCAGGCCTTTGCCTTAGAGGGATAGGCTGATACAGCTCTCCTAACTGCAACTCATAATATTTAAATAGGTCCCATAAAAAAAGAAAACCAACCCTCGCATTTTAAGGCAACAGTATTTCATAGTTCAAAGACTTAAGACCACACTTCACAAGCTGTAGTACATTGAGCTGCATTTACGATGCTGCTGGCTGAGTTTTGCTTCCCCAACAAGAACTAATAGGATGGTGAGATCCTTTGTGCCAAATTTCCAGGATGAAGTCAAACGTTGTAGAATAAACTTGCCTTATAAGCAACTTAGCCTAAGGTGGTAGCATTTACATGGAAACACCCGAGTTTAATGGTATTCCTCTTTATTCCTGTGAAGGTTGAAATAACCAGCAGAAAATGGGGTAAACAGGCTATTAATGTCTTAACTGCGGCTAAGTATGCTAGAGTTTACCTAAATCAGGATATTTACATCCATACCAAATGAATTACTGAAAGACTGCTCAGACTTCCTGACCAAAAGGGTATGCTTAGGTTTCAGGAACTTTTTAAGCTGGAGACTATGAAAAGCAGAGATGTTTTCTGTTCCTTTTAGAATTTTTCATTCTTACTTAGAAGGCTCAACAGTCAGATCAAGTACTTCTACTTTCAACTGAACAGGCTGATATTTATCCAGTTCATAGTATTAAAGTGCAATTTTTCACCTTTTCTGAGAAGCAAAATGACGTCTTACATTTATGAATACTGTTAGAGAAATATTCTTTTACATAGGACGTATGACAAATCAAAGAATATCAAGGAACAATTAATTTCATTGTGGTGGCTCTGGATAGACTGAGGGATTTTAGGTGTTCTTAAGAGTATGATGACTGTATTCTATGTCCTTTGCAGTCATGTTCTGCACTTCTAAGAGATGCTATTTTTAAGTTTCTAACTATCATAAGTTCTGTATAAGTCTAATGTATAATACACACTAGTATTTAACCTAGGTAAATACTAATAACCCTTCAAGCTGGGTTAAGCCTTCTGCTTCCTTTGGTGAGTTTACCTCTGGGGTACCTTAGCAGAACTGACAATGATGCAAGTTGTGTAGTGTGTGAACACTTGCAATAGTGTAGACAGTAAGATTGTTCTGAAATGATGTCTTAAGTCACAGACATAATTACAGATTAATAGGTGAATTCTGGTAGTATATCTGGTTCCTAGCTTCTCTGTAGCAATTGTAGATCAATATTGCAACTCTTGCATCAATTGTGAAGTGTTGCTGAAAGATCTTGTGATCATATTCCGGGAGGGCCCCAGCTTAATCATTGTCACTTGAACATCTGTGGTAGCTGTTAAAACACCTTCCTCTTTTAGGGTAGGAATTAGATATTTTTTCCCTTTCCCTGAACTACAGGTCTTTCTACATTGCTTACCACCCCCCAGATTACTATCTAGGCACCTTCTTCTCTCTACTTTGCCTGACAGCATACGAACCAATGCAAATTCCCTGAAAGACTCTACATTTCAAGACTGACATTAACTAAACCACTTTTCACAAGACTCCTCAAAATAGTCACCTTAAACTTGCGCTTTATATATATTATTATATATATATTATTATATATATTATATATATTTATATATATATAATACAGCAAATCCAGGAGATTTTTACCTACTTCTGTAAGAGATTAATAAGGTATATCTGTTACTAGTTGTATAATCTGTGAAGTAAACTTACAAGCTATTTTCAGTCATATCCAGTGAATATCTAAAGCGTGTTCAAAACAACTATATTTCTGTTGCTTTTAAACTGTTTTTGTACTTTCAGTTTTAAATTGCCAATCTACATTGAAGGTGCTGTCTCCGGAAGATGGAAAAGCAGACATAGTAAAAGCTGCTCAGAACTTTTGTCAGTTGGTAGCACAGCAGCAAAGAACATACACAGACCTGGATGTGAATGTGTTAGACAACTTATTAAGTAGTAAGTATGGCATGGTCTGTGGGGAGGAGGGGAAAGAGTACTTGGTTTGTAACGGATTTGGTTGCCAGTATATTTATTGCTTAGAACGTATGCATCTTGATGCTTAGTCTATCAGGGTAAGTTACCATCATTGATTTCAGGCTTCTGCTAAAAATTTCATACTAGTTTACTCCCTTTTGAGCTTTTTCTTTAAGCAGAAAAAGGAAACCTTAAGCTAAGTTGCAGAGTTTCAGCTCTTCAGAGTTTACAACCTCTGTGGGATGTTCTGCGATGAGCTTTCTGAAAAAAAGTACTGCTGGGATCCCCTGAAAGTAGACTATTACAAGTTAACTTCTTGCAAGTTAGCATGCTGCAAACCTGGGTATGACCAGAGAGGCTTTTCCATATCCAGTTACAGCAATTAAAGCTGTTTCTGCTGCTTAACTACCACTCTGAGTGCAAATGAAGGAGCACTTGGCTGATTTTTGCTGCTGTATAACCCACCCTAGTTTAGTTATCGTTGCTACTAATTAATGCAGATTACTGACTCTGCACTGAGGTGCGTGGCTACAATAGCTATGAGAAGTGCAGGGCTGCCCTGATCTCACATCTGGGAGAAGTAGTTCAGAACAAGTCTCCGCTTCCCAGTAGCACTATAGAGCTGTAGTAATTGCTCAGCTTTCCTAGGTGATCCATGCATGTTAATTGCAGCTGTAATTAGCTTGGCAATGTTCACGTTTCAGATTGCACACTTCAGCTTGGACGTCTGCAGACATGTTATTGTGGGCTTCTGTTAATTGGACTTCAGAGAGTGATTTTTTTCAAATAGGTGGTCAGCTGAATTTCTCTGCAGACTGACTACTGTGGCCATTTAGACACTTAAATCTTCATTTCAAACTGATTTCTGTCCCTGTTGTCAGCGTGCTGCGTAATAACATCTCACTGTAATGGAATTATTATACGTATTTAGTAAGGCACCTGAAGAAATAACTTAAACATCTACCCTGTTATACCCCAAAGGTGCTTTAAGGAAATGAGTAAGTGCTTCTTGAAAACACTCATTTCATGAAGAACTGGTGATAATTGATACCCATATATGTATCGTGGCCAGTGATGTTTAACTGGAACTTTTGAATCACTGGTTCATGATCTTCTGTCTGTGCGTTTAAGTGTCTGGATACGTTAAAAGCATTAACTTAAAGCATTAACCTAAAAGCTCAGTCTTTAACTGAGCAGATGTATTGTTCAAGCAATGCACAGTAGCTGAGCACAGAAAGAAGAACCTCCTAGACTTCTCATCTGTCAAAACTGTAAACTTTGAAATCAGGCTGCTTGATTTGTGTTGCTAATAACTAAGGATAGTATCTTTAACTTGTCCTGCTTATTTATTTGTTTGGTTTAACTATTTAGAACAGTTGGAGGTGAAGAACTATTATTTCATTACTTACTTAGTAGCTGCTTATGAAACTACTCATTTTAGTTGTAGGCAAATTTAGTTTCTGTGCATCCTTAATGGCAAGGTATTGAATGTAGACATCTGTGAGTTACTGATCCAAGTTGAGAGTGAGTTCTGAAAAGCAATACTTGAGAAGTTATATTTTAAGCATTTGTGTTCATGGGTACTTCTGTAAGTTTCTGTTTTTTCACATTTTGAATTAAATATCTAATAATGTAGGTTTTTAATTTTCTGTTCATATTTAGGATGCCATTACTGAAGTCTAGTCCTAAAATGGTACAGCTCCAGCTTGTCATGTGGCTTTTATGGTTCTTAATCTAGTCATGCTCTAATTCTTACAGCTTGAGTTTTTTCCAGTGTAAGAGTACTTGCTTCTGAGCAATGCCTCAGGTAACCAGCTTGTTTTCAGAAAAGTAGGTGCCACCTGCATTATAATATTGTCTCTGCTTGCTGTCTGCCTTCCCAGTAAAGAACAGGACTGTCAATTAAGGCTGTTCAAGTTACCCTATAAAATCCATGTGGAGAAGAGAGGGGTAGTGCTGTCAGCACTACAAATTCTTCCTTGTTCCTCTTTCAGAACTCGTGACCTAGAAGGGAAGTTGCCTGATTCCTGTCCCTTGAGTGTTCACCTCTTTTCTTCCCCCCCCC